AGTATCAGTCTATACACTCCTTCAACATTGCTCCCTCTACACTGGCTAGCACAAATGCCTCACTCATTAACACAATCTTCTGCCCCAACCTTATACACTTCCCCCTCTGAGTGTACTTGCTCACAGTCCTACAGTCACATACAAAATGTCCTTGCTTTCCACAAAAGTTGTAGGTCCTCTTGTGCTTCAAGTCGGATTTCACAGAATTGGCAGATTGGTCAGTTTTGTGTGCTTGATTCATCAGTATCTTTCTAGACTTGCTTGCTTTATTGACCTGGGCTTGTAACTCTTCAAGCTTCCTCACAATCTTCACATACTTGTCTCCTACTTCTTTCTCTAGCTTCTCCTTTGGCAATGTCACTGTCTGGTCTTGGCCTGCCTCTGTCTGTCCTGCTAGAAGAACATGGTCTGCTAGCCTAACTACATTAGCAAATTTGAACAGCTTGCTTGCATTCTTGTCCACATAGAGAATCTCCAGTTGTTGTGTCAAGTTTGTTCTCAGCATCCCTCTGATCCCTCTCCAGAACTTACAGTCTAACTCACATGCTGACATCTTCCCTTACTCCTTCAAGTACTCTACTTACACCTGGAACTTGTAGCAGTAGCAGCCAAACTCTGTCTGCACTGTCATTTCCTTCTCACTCTACACATCAACTAGTTACATGATATTGGCTCTTGTGTAGTATTGACCATTGATCAGCTCTAGATAGAGCTTTCTGATCTCCTCTTTCACAATACTCTAATTGTATACTCCTTTCTTCTTCAACTCAGGCATGGTAGCCCACAAACTGCTACAGCTTGTTACTGTGTAGTATGTCACTTGCTTGCACATCTACTCAGCATCCTTCTGAAAGTCAGCAGCTAACATCTTAATGTCTTTAAAGAACTGTGGAAGTTCCTCAAGCTTGCTACTGTCAAAATACAGTACTTCTCTTGATCCTCTTCTTAGCAGCCACATCATTGTGCTTCTTGTGTGTCAAAACAGTCAGTTTGATTCAAAACAAGCATAGTAAGGCCCTTAAGGCTAAGATCAAGACAAAAACAACCTAGACACTTTAGAACAGAGGCACTACCCCTCACAGTAGGCTCTAAAATAAGAGGTAAGGTTTTGGTGGGCTTGTTCCCTCTAGTGTCATTGTAGGCTCTAGTCAAAACTCTCCTTCATTCCAAATAGGAAAGAACTAACTACATAAAGAAAGTGATTATGTAATCCAAAGAATTAAATAAAATCAAGAAGATCTGATAGTAACTAAAATCAGAACTCTTCAGTATACAGGTGACAAAGTCAACATTCTTAGATTTGAGTCAGATCTCTTAGATTGTCTTGGACACAAAATGGGAATTGTCTAGGAGAACAAGATTTTCATTATTATTCTCCCCCCTTTCATAACCTACTTGTCTTAAGAGTAAATCAGCTTTTGTCATTTGTGTTCTGAGTTTGTAAGTCAGTATAAAGTCATAGTTCTACAGTTCTAACATCTAGCAGGCTTAGTAGTAGTTGAGCTTCTGAGGCACTCAGAAGTACTAGAGATTAAGGTGATCACTCCAAATCTCAAACTTCTGTATAGTACTAAGGAGATATTAATACTACTCCTCTAGGGAACAGACAATTGTAAGGAGTTCCTTGTCATAAATAGGATAGTTCTGTTCTGTTACAGAGAGGGATTCTAATTGGAACACTATCAGACACTACTTTCTGTCAATGAACTAGAACAGTACTACTCTATTTACAAAGTCAGAAGAGTTGGCTTTGACTCAGAACTTGTCTACAACTGTTAGAACTACTAATACAGGCTTACTAGTAATGGCCTACTTTAGGGACTTGAATGTAGACTACTACTGATCCTCTCATTACTAAGGAACATCTTTACTGGTAAGATTGTGAAGGGGCTAGGTAATGGTACTAAAGCCTTGAATAAAGTATTAGTAGTAGTTTACAAACCTAAGGAATGCTTGGACCTGTTTCAGGTTCTAAGGTTGTAGCTAGTCCTAAACTACAGTTACCTTTGCTAGATCCATACAGACCTCTCCTCCACTAATTACAAAGCCTAGATAATCTACTGACTCCTGTACAAAAGAGTACTTTACTTCTTAGAGGAACAGTTTATTATTTTAGAGCCATTGTAGAACTGCTTAGATCAGTCAGTAATAGTGCTCAACTGTCTGAGTAAAGATCAGAATGTTATCCAGATACATACTAACATGCTCTGAGTCAATCAGATCTGTAAGAATGTGATTCATGAATGACTAGAATGTTACAGACAAGTTAGTTAGTCTGAAGAACATTATGGTTGGTTTGTACAATCTGTAATTAGTTCAGAACACAGCCTTCTACTCATCTCTGTCTTAGATCCAAATATTATTATATCCCTATCAAACATCCAACTTAGTAAAAACCCTAGATGTATGTATCTTATTAATGAGCTCCTGAATTAGGGGGAGCAGGTACTTGTTTTTAACAGTACTCTTATTAAGACAACAATAATCCTGAACTAGACAGAGCTTCCTATCTTTCTTTTTGATAAAGAAGAAAGGGGAGACTATAAGAGACTTTAAGAGTTGGATCTGGCTGTTCTAAAGATTTTCCTAAAGGAACTTGTCAAGCACCTCCTACTCATCTCTGTTGAGCAGGTAGACCTTACAATCCTTAGGTTGGAAACCCTTAGTCAATTCAATTGTATAGTTCTAGGGACAGTGTTTGGAAAGCTGGTCAAATTCCTCTTTACTAAAGACTTTAGGGAACTCTTGAACAAAATCTGGCAGGCTGAGTCTATGTGTGTTCTAGAGTAGAGTTGTTCTGAGAGGGTTCTGGACTGGTTCTGTCTCAGACATTCTTTGGATTGACTCTGTTCCACCTTAACTAGAATATGTATCTACATATCTATCCTAGTCAAAGAAGAACAACTAGTCACCTTCATTAGAACTGTCAGTAATATTGGAAGCATCTGTATCTACTTAGAACAGTAGTGTAAGGTAGTTGTAAGACTCAGAACACTGATTGAATACAAGTGTCTACTCTAACTAGTTAATAGTAGGGTTGTGAGTCTTAAGCCATTTGAATCTAATAAAGATGTCTGTCTTTCTAAGGTTAGTGACTCTAAACTCAATACTTTCCTCATAATCCTGAATAGTCATCTGTAGTTAGACAAACTTAGTAATCTGACCATTCCAGTTTAGGGTTCTGTCTGTATTGTATACTAGGATTGGAAGTGGAACACATTAAGTAGGGAGGTAGTGTTCCTACACAAAAGCCTTATTAATACACAAACTAGTGTATTTACTGTCTACTAGAGCTATTGTTCAGATCTAGGGGGATCCTGAGAAGGGAGCCAAGAGGACAGGGACTTAGAGCTAGTGCCTGGAATGTCCTCAGATGAACTACTACTTGTTCTGAAGGGAATGTACAGCTTACATAGCCTTGTTGTCTAAGAGGGTGAGTATATACACTAACATTTCCTTATTAACCTCTCTCTTTCAACAAGGACAGACCTATGTTCTCAGCTATAAACTCAGCTGAGGCTATCCCTGCTTAATACTATAAACAAACTACTGAGTAGTGAACAGGGCTGGGTAGCATTCTGAACATTCTAAGATCTTAGAATGTAGAAGTAGTAGGTCAGATTGTACAGATTTAGACTCAGATAAAGTACAAAGAGAAGAATCAAAAGAATCAGGAGAAATACTGTAGCAGACTGTATGTAGGCAACGCTTACTAATGTATTATATAAGTGTAATAGTAAAATGAAAGCAACAAAGTAAGAGTGACACATTACAGGGTCCAAATTAAGCAACCATGGCCAAAATGAGACAAAGGTGGATTGTCTTTTAAGATTGTGAGGAGCCACTGAGCTACAAACAGGCCACACAAAGATGAAAATGATAAAAAAGCGTGAATTAAGGATCTTGAATGTGTCTTCAACATATCATCCAGCATGTCAGAGACAACACCTTCTCTGCAACTTGTGTAACCCTTGCCTTCCACATACCCTGTCTCCCAGCATTCTAATCCTGCTGTGCAAAGCAAGAACCTGTGCCAAACAAAACTGCAATTCCAAGTTTGTACCAAGGAAGAGGCAGCTGAGCAACAGAGAAAGGAGGATGAGTAAGATTGAGAGAGCCACAAGAGAAAGATTGAGTTGTATGAGGAATGCAAAGCCGAAAAGAAAGCTCACAAGAAGGAATTGAGTGCTGTAAGAGTTGCTAGGTATCAGAAGAGGAAGAGAGAGAAGCATTAGAGACTTGATACAGAGGAAAGTAGTCAGGTATGTATCTTTTGTTGACTAAAGTACATTAACAGTTGTTTATTGACTTATATTACAGGTATCTAGTGATCATCAAGAGAGTCCAACTGCTCTTCCATGTAATAACACTGTTACTGAGGTATCCTAGGAAATTTCAGGACAGTGGAAGACACAGTAAACAGGAAAGTGGCAGGGACGTGTTCCAGGTGTTTCTAGGTGTACAAATTGGTACCATCCATTCCTATGGGATGCAATTGATTGCATTGCACCAAAGGTTGACTTCAGTCCCTCAAAAATTGTTGAGTTCTTGAAGAAAGAGAGTCTGGCACTGTACAATCAATTGAATAAGGGTACAGTCCAGAAATGGATTACACTGTGCAGAACGAAATGGTCTGATACAACAATCCACAATGTCCAGAACAAGCGTATCTTAGGGGGTTCTAGACGTGTTGGTGCTCTTACAAAGTACCCTGAGCTTGTTGAGGAGATTAAAACAAACTTTCTGGGCTTTTGTGTAAAAGGTTACCCACTGAATGCAGTAATTGGCTGTTCTATAATGCTTGCCATCATTGAAGCTCACAATCCAGATATCCTCACATCGAACTTCAAATACAGTAAGGTACGTATCTTATGTGTCTGTCCCTATCACAATAGTGGACATGTGCCTTGAGTATTGTCTCTCTGTCACACTAACTGATGTACATGTTTGCATAGAAATACGTCAGGTTGTTCCTAGGATCGGTTTTGAATATGACAGTAAGGCAAGCAACTCAAGCTGCTACACACCTACCCAAGAACTGGGAGGAGGTGTGTGAGTGCGCTTTTTTTCGTCTTGTTCATGTAGTAAAAGAGTTTGATATCCCCTCATCAGTGAGTGCTTCAGTACTATGGTTTATTAAGTATATCACTCATTTTCTTTCAAGTTAATTGTTAATATGGATCAAACAGGGGTACTATATATTCCTGGCTATAAGTACACCTACAAAAAGAAAGGTTCAAAGCAGGTAAACATCATAACTAAGGATGAGAAGCAAGGATACACACTTTGTGTATCTAGTACTGCTGATAGCAAACTACTACTATTCCAGCAAGTCTACAGTGGTAAAACTGACCAGAGCCTCCCAGAAAAGAACTCTACAAATATGGAAGAGGCTCTTGGTGCTGGAATTCAATTTACAGTGGCAGCAAGTGTAAACCAGCATGATAGTCACTTCAGCACTCAGAAAACAATGAAAGAAGTGTGTACATGTGTTGTAAATCTTTGTTCTTAAACTAAATACCTCTTACAGTTCATGAAGAACATCTATGAGCCTCACTATAAGAGAGTCTTGGAAGCGAATCCATACCTGCCAAGGGACCAGCATGCTGTCCTTTACTTGGACTGCTATCCAGTACATACGAGTGCCGATTTCTTGGATTTCTTACAATCAGAATACCTGTATGTCATCCCTTTATTCGTCCCTGCAAACTGTAAGTGTGCAAATACATTTCTCAATGACATTGGAGCTGAACTTCTGTATGGTGAAGGCACTCCTGTATTCCAACCAGCAGACGTTGGTCTGCAGTGCATCCTCAAACACCAATTGAAACAACATACACTTCAAGGAATGATCCAGCAATACTACAGCCAGATAGTAAAGGGCATCCCTCTTGAACAAGTAGAAATATTAGACAAGATCAAAGTACTACACAATGCTACAGTATTGGCTGTATTGAGTGCATGGAACTTCATGAATACACTAAAGGGGCATGAAATCATTAGAATGGTAAGAATCTTTGATTTTGTTCAGTATATTGCCTTCTAACTTTCATTTATATATTACTCAGGCCTGGAGGAAATGTGTTGTTAAGGAATGGAACTTATCTGGCTCTATGCTTTCAGACCTCAAAGCAAGAGCAGTATTGTGCAATTATATTACTCAGGACAAAACTCTACAAGATGAGATTTTTAATAGGACTGGGCAGGAATTTCCGATTATTATTGATGGTACTGAAGACAGTAACAAAGAAGATACTAATGATTTATTCGATGATGATACTACAGTACCTCTTACTTCAATCATTAAGGAGACAGTTGGAGTTGATGTTGGGAAAGAATACGAGTTTATTAATGACTACTATGGAACAATGGATTCTATTGAGTATTCCAACAATCCTGACCATCCAGGCTTTGTCTCAAGTAATCTGGAGGAGAATATATGGTATTACTCAAACGACAGTGTCCTTTGGAACCAGTCTTAGAGGTTTGTGAACTGGTCCTTCTGCTTGTCTATACAATTTACTCAACAACATTCTGTTGGCAGCTCTTATTATTTAGACACTAGACAGCATACTCAGGCAATTAGACTTAGATTTTTTTTTGTTTTAAATGAAAAATATCATATTTTTTTTGTACTATGCTACATAGGTCGAGCACTGGCAACAAGTACTCTGTTACCTGTTATGTTACACTAAATAAGCAACACAACAGGTCTACAGTTACCTGTTACTATTGCCTACATACAGTCTGCTATAGTAGGAGAACTATCTACTTTTGTTTTCAACCTTTTCTTTCTAATAAATAATTTTGTTGATTTATTTTTTCTACTTTTTCTGCTTTTTCTACTTTATTTACTTCTAATCCTACAGTGTCTATTGAATCAAAAGTGGCTATTAAAAAATCCAAGTTATAGCCCTTCAGTACTATATTCACTGTTAGGCCTTTATAAAATCCTAGAGTACATAGTCAGGGTCTAGGAGTTCTGAGGTGACTTCTGGATTTGTAGAAAAGGCTTCTTACTACAAATCCTACTCATTACTCATTATTACTCTAATGACCTGACAGATGTACTGTTACTTCTACAGACAGTCCTTAATTTAGTACTCTGACTTTCTGTAGGTGAAGCATACTCCTTACTTTTGAGCTTCTCTAATGTCTATCAGAATGGATTGATCACAAATTACAGGCAGATTGATCTAAGGGCTCAGAACTGTTAGAGCCAAATGTATGTACAAGCATTCTACACAGACTTGACACATCTAGGCTACAGCTTGGTTGAAGGAAATGGTGTGTGTCTTCTACTCAGTGTAAGTGACCAGTTCCAGCATTATTCTAAGGATCTTATTGACCAGTTCTAAGTAAAGAGCTTTTTCAAGCATTCTAATGAGGACATTATTAAACCTGAGCACAAATCCTGCCTTCTAGGCTAGGATATCAAACTCCTGAAAGAAGGCATTAGTAGAACGTTTGCCCTGTCACAGAGACACAAGCTTGTTCTACACATTACACTTCTTATTCAGATCAATAAAGGAAGTACAGAGCTGCCTTATGAATTCTGAATACAACTTGTTGTTCTGAAGTTGGATCAGGCTTCCAATCTAATAACCTTCAATCCAGTTCTAGGCTCAGGTGGCTGTGTTGCCTTCCTTCATGAAGGAGAGGACAAATAGGACACAATTGAGATCTGAGAATAGATTGGTTAAAGTAGTAGCCACATATAGTTCAACTTAGTACTAGAAGTCCTTAAAGTGCTGCCTATTAAAGTCTAAAGGGTAGACTACATACACTTTCTTTCCAGAATAGGTTGTGACTTCCAGAACAATCAGAACAGGTTCTAAAGGGGCTAGGGGCACATGGTTAGCAAAGGCCTCTTAGATAGAGGTCTGTACATATTGAGCTAGTTCTACTCATAACTACTGATCTGGCAGGACAGTAGGGGTGACAGTCAGTGTAGGAGGGTCCATGTTTACACTACAAAGGAATTGGCACTAAACTAAAAGGGGTAATGAATAGAAGAAGGGTGGCAAAAGTTTAAAAGGGTTTAGAAAGTTTAAAATTTAAAAATGTAAAAGGGTCAGGACAAAGAAAAGAGATCAACACAACAGTAAGTACTAATGCTTGAAACATAGGAGAGTCATAGAGTGGTAATAGGTAGTCTTGATCTGATGTTAGCAACAGTGTAGAAGGAACCTGAAGGCTCAGTAAGGGGACCCAGGCTACAACTATCCTACACAACAGAAATACAGAACACAAGTACTAGAACATAGTTGGAACTTGTAGAACAGGCAGAGAGAGAGAGTGAGACAAGAGTAGAGTATATAGAGTAAGCCTAAGAGTACAGGACTACCTAGAGTAGACAAGATCAAGACTACAGGACCAGTCTGATCTTGTACACCTATATATACTAAACTACACAAGAGCACTCAGGGAGCATGAGTCACTAAGAATGATAAGCTACAAAG